GCTCGGGCTTACTTTATCATAAGATTTCACAGACTTTAAAATGCTAATATGCATTTTCTGTCTTCGGGACTGGAATGCATTGCACACTTCCTAAACTTTCTGGGCTTCATATTCCCTTTCTCACAGAAATTTAGAAGGACCGAGGCTCTGCGTTGTCCCCACTGAGGGCTCACACTTGTCCACACTGTTCCCAGGCTTAGGGGTTTGTGGCCCGTGTGACATCAGATCCTATCATGGAACACCCCAGTAAGAGGCAGACCGTCTTCCTCGCTCCCTAGCCAGGCAGTGCTCCCTATGGATGAGCTGTGGAAACTGTAGTCCAGGCATGCCCTCGGGAATAACAGACGCCATCTTCTCAAGGCCCTCCTGCACCTTAGTTCCAACACTAAGCCTTGCCAGTGTTTCCCGTGTGCCGCCAGTGCAGTCTTCTCCCAAGATTCATTTCATACCAGGCTTCGTGGCACACACCCATAACCCCAGCACTCAAGAAATTGAGGCAGGAGGATCATGAGTTCAAGGCCAGCCTTGGGCTACAGAGCAAGACCCTGTCAGAAAAGAAAACAATATGTACTTTAAAAATCATTTTTCAATTAATCCATGGCTCTTCATACTCTTCCAACTTGCTTCTTACATCTTCAAATGTGTTGTAGAAGCTGGAATGGGTACTTACCTTTCAGGAAAGCCCTGCTGGCTCCAGAATGGCTGAGGGAAAGATCTATGGGGAGACTCCTGAGGAGAAGGCACTGTGGTGAGACTTCTCTTCCATCAAAGTAAAGCTGACTTGAGGGACATTGATAGACTGAGGCAGGAGGCAAGGGCCCCATCCAGGCTGGTCCAGCTGCGGTTAGAATTCTTGTAAAGCACCCTTCTACTGTGTGTTGTCTGGTAGCTTGAGTAAGCTGACCTTTGGAGCAGGGACCAGAGTGGCTGTGCACCCATGTGAGTATGACCATGCCAGAAAGAACTGATGCCTTGTTAGTGTAATCTCCAGCAAACTTGGGATGCATAAAATATCATTTCTTATTTCCATAGGCTCTCATTGGTAGCTTAAAATGTCCCTGATTCTCAAACTGATGTCAGAAAGGTGCTCAAAGCCAAATGAATAAATGAAAATCTGGACAGAATAATTTACAGAAAAAAAATTTTAAAGAATTGCAAATGCTCAGTCCTTTCAAGCGAAGCTGATAACATCAGCACCAGATAACCTGAATATTCGGGAGATTAGCTAAGTGCCCTTGGGGAGGAAGAGATGGGTTAATGGCAAACACAAATTCTCTTTTATTGCAGCAGGTAGTTAAACTCCTGGGTTAGCTAATGAGTGTGGCTAGGGGACACCAGTTCACAGAGGCTTTTCTCAGAACTGAGTTGAGTCCTAGAACCCTTGCCCAAGGGTAAAAACAGCTGAGCCCTGTGACTGGCCAGTGTGCTACATTTTATAATAGATGGGAAGATGGATGAGGTGGACCTGGGATGAATTCTGGCTCCATCTTCACCAGCTGTATTAATACTGTTTTCACTTTCAACAACAAAATGGTACCCCACATCATACTGTGAGATACTACCTACACACAACAAAAGGTCCTCCACTGGGAGAGAGGCTAATACATCCTTGGTGCTATTATCAGGGCTTTGCCACACCAAGGTTTACATTGCTATAAAAAGAGAGAGCAAGAGCGTCCTTGGTAAATAGAAGTTGTAAGAAACAAGAACTCCTAGACAGTTTAGGGAACTATGCCAAGACCCCACTGGACTCTAGCAGGCTGCTGCCAGAAGGCTTCTTCAAAGACCTTACCTGTACTGGGAATTCAGCCCTAGCCCCGAATTAATCTCTGGAGCAGGGACCAAACTAAACAATCTGCCATATACATAGACTGAGGCAAGGGTAGAATTCACAAGTACTTCCTCTTCCTCTCTGTCCAAGACATGGGCTTGAGTTCAGGTATTTTCTTACGTAGGATCATGAATGGTTCTAGAAAGGACTCACCCTGCCCAGCACTAAGTGCTGAAGAAACATTATCTTTTCACTGAACCTTTGTCAATCATGATCCTTCAGCTAGAATATGCTAGACACTGCTGCTCTGAGCAGGAAATTTTGATCTCCTAAGTTCTCCTGGATTCATGGAAATCACAGAAACTCACTTCTGTTCCGGGCATCACAGTATAACTTGACAGGCGGGAAGGATTCTTTGTTGCAGAGACAGAGTTGCAGCTCGAGACAGCAAAAGGGCTAAGTCTTAGGACTATGATTCTCCACCCTGGGAGACCAGAGCTGAGTAGTAGGCAGGTCTTGGAAGCTTCTGTAAAGGTGTCACCTGCAGTGCGAATACCGGAGGACTAAGTGGCAAATTAACATTCGGGAAAGGGACCCAAGTGTCGGTAATATCTGGTGAGTCATCCCAAGCGGCACTATTTGCAGCCCTGTAGGCCAGCACCATTAATCCTCCCCCTGAGATGCCCACTGTGCCTATGGCAGGGTGAGGCTAACAGGGGGGTGCTGTGCTAATTGTTTTACAGAGGTCTGCAAAGGGAGAAGGCCTCACTATCAGTCTTAAATATCTGTGTTTCTTCTAGGTCAAACTCATTAAAATATGACTTTAATCATTCAATGGACACTTTTAAATGCCTTCTAAGTAGCTATCACTTTAGATAATGTTAGGCTGAGAAGAAAAGAGCCTAAGATAGATGCCTGACCTGTACCCAAACAGCAAAAAAGTAGCTAAAGCTTCAGAACTATTGTACATTTAGCAACCTACAAACTATTTTAGTGTCAACAATTGGTGGTGTGTAAAAACAGTTTCAGATGGGGTGGGGTCCTGGTAGAAGGTGCCCTAGACAGAGGCTGCTTTCTGTGCTAGAAAAGATTTGTTGAGCCTTGACAGATCGATAAGATCCATGTGGGGAAAAGGGAGGCAGAGTCCCAACAGAGGGGCAACAAGAAAGGAGAGCCAGTCTTGGGATAAACAAGGCAGGCCTTTTGGCCTGTGTAGGTAAATCTAATAATAAAAATGGACTAAGAGAACAAGACAAAAAAAAAAAAAAGTGCCTTCTTAGATTAGATAATGAAGATAAGAAATATTAGAACCTTCCAAAAAATACAGAAATTGGGACCAGAGCCAGCCACAAGAAAACTGAGGCTCCCATTTAGAATGCAGAGCAGATGTGAGGTGAAAGTTCTTTCCATGCAGCCAGGGACTCCCCTTTCCTTCCTCATCAGATTCTAGAGGGTTTGTCCCAGCCTCCAGGGAAGACAACAATGGGTTGCTGCTTTGTGAGAAGTGGTGTGCAGATAGGTGCGCCATCTTGTCCAAAAAGCCTGCGGTGCTGTTTCTTGATGCTGTTCAAGCCTGGATGGAACCTACATCCATGTCACTAACTCTCATTTCTAGGTTCCCAGTGCTTAGCAAAGATTTAGTAGTGAGGGAGTTTTCCATCCCTGTAGTAACCCCAGAGACCTACATGGCTAACACACTCAGACTTCTGTATTAGTTTTGAATTGTGACAGCAAGTTAGGATCCAGAACCGCTGAACTTGTAGTTGAAAACATTGATCCAGTCTCGCCAAAGCAACCTCTGATGCTGTCAGTGGTCAAATGTGTTTTTCTTGTGAGGTAGGAATAGGACGTTTCTCACCACAGGGCTCTGAGAGACAGAGCCCCAAAGGCCTCCAATTGAAGGTGATTTGTTTCTGATTTTCAGAGGGAGGGGTAAGGTCGCGGTAGATATCTATGGGACTGAAAATGAAAGGGGCTAAAAACTAGGACGTTCCTGTGGTGAGCCTTAGGTATTTGCCTGAAAGGAGCCAGAGCCCCGTGTCTGCCTGTGGTGCCCACCCAGCCCTGCTGCTCCCCAGGCAGCGCCATGCTTCAGGCAGCCCCTTGCCTTGACTCAGCATCCTAGAGCAATGCCACCAGGGCCCGATGTCTTTGGTTTAGGATCCAGCTGGAAGCCTGTATCGCCAAGGCCACCCGGTTGGCTCAGTGATCAGAGCTGTGGGAGTGAGAACCGCAGGGCAGGAAGCTCTGATTCCAGCCCTGCTGGAAACTCTCTCGGTGGCCTGGTGTGCTAATCCTTCTGGCCAATCTTGCTTCCTCCTCTGAAGGCAGAGGCCATGGGGGAAATAGTCAGCAAGAGTCCATGTTAAAAAAACGAAATCCCTCTCGGAGAAAAAGTAAAGAATTGTCTCAGCACTGGGGAAGGGCTTCCAGTAGTCCTTGCTTTTCTGGAATAGGAAACAGTATGCTTGGCTTTCTCGGTACTGTTTTCATGGTGAAGCCCTGGCACATTTGCTCAGTGCTGTGTGTTTTATTAGGTTATTTTTATCTGGAGAAATAGGCATTTGTTTCTAAGAACAGCCTGGCTGGAAAGGGGAGTGAAACAAATTGTCCATCTTACAGGTGAAAACTGAGATTTCAGCCCCTGTTGATTTCATCCAGGCCCTCGGCGGTAAATCGTAGAGTCAGGGCTTGGATGTGGATGTTGCTCAAAGCATGTATCAAAGAGAGAGAGATCACCTGGTGGTCTGATAGACTTTCCAACTTAATGTCAAAATGCCACACACCTACCTTCCCACCCAGACCCAGGCTACTGGGGGGAGAGCACTCCAGAGAGACAGCTCTGTCTGTCTTCTATGCTTGTTTTTGTCATGCCAGAAATAAATGGTTGACCGAGGTTTTGAAGATTCTGTGAAGGAGAAAAATGACAAGATGCTCTAGTGGCCCAGCCTTTCTGCTTTTCCAGAATGCCAGTCAGGACCTTATGGAGAGGGACTTCCAAGAGCTAGAGGTCTTGGCCAAGATTCTTCACTTGTGCCTCAATTTACCTTACCCCAAGTCTGTCACAAGCAGATGGTTTCTAAGATGCCATTTCTGGTGCAGAGCCTGAGAATAAGACTGGCTAGTCTACAGAGTTCTGCTCTTGCCTGTCACTATTATCTGAGTTCTGGCCTGGGTTAGGACAAAAAAACAAAAAAACTCTTCTAACATCAGTCCTCTTGGCTCACAGATATCCAGGACCCAAAACCTGCTGTGTACCAGCTGAGAGATCCTAAGTCCAAGAACAATACCATTTGCCTGTTCACTGACTTTGGTTCTCAAGCCAAGATGCCACAAAGCATGACTGACGGAGTGTTCAAGTCTAACGAAACTGTGCTGGACATGAAGTCTATGGATTCCAAGAGCAATGGGCTCATCGTCTGGAGCAAACATAATAGTCTCAACTGTAACGCTGACTTTGCAGTGAACGCCTCCTACCCCAGTGCTGGTAAGTGCTGCCCAGAGCTGTCTCCTTGGTTCCGGAAGGACTCAGCTCAGGCCTACAGTGTCTAAAAGCTGCTTTTGGTCATCTCACCTTCATCAGTTGTTAGTAAAGCCACATCCTGTTCTGCTAAGGAACAAGGAGCCCTGTCCTAGTAGGCCACAGATGCCCTGGCCTAGAAGCAGACAAGAGAACATGACAGAGGGCATTGGCCCAGCATTAGTCTCAGTATTCGGAGTTTTCACCTTCCTTTCTCTGTTTGAGCCGCTTGCCCTCTCTGTTCTCCCAGGCACAGTTTCCATGCCCTTCCTGGCCCCCTCACCCAGCTGCCTACCCTGATTTCTATGTCTGCCAAGGCTGTGTGAGGACCGAGTCCCAGGTGTTGGAGTGACATAAGTAGTCAGATGATGAGGCTACCCCCTAAGGAGCACCATTCTAATCGAGGAAGACCATCTCTCAGAGAGGGACATGGAAATTACATCCGGCTCTAATTAATACATGCTTTAACTTGAGCTAAGGATAGAACCACCTCAGAAAAGGGCTCTGAGAATGCTATCATGCTACAACTTAAAGGATAAGAAGCGACCACCCATGCCTAGGCCAGAGAGGACCCTGTCAAAGCCCAGGAAAGGAGAATGCTGGGAACAAAAAAAGAGCTGCAGGAAATGAGTTGGAAGACACAGACGAGGGCCAGATCACAGGTAGAGGCAAGAGGATCAGAAGTTCAAAGTCATCTTCACCCTCACAGCAAGTTCAAGTCCAGCCTGGACTTCCAGAGACCCTGTCTCCAAAAACAACTACATAAAATAATAAAATATAAGGCTGGTTGCTGTGTGGAGAAAAGATTGTAGGTCCAGCAAAAGAAAGAGAATGCAAGAGAGTGATGGTGGAAGCCCTACCAGGTGGTGGTAGGGACTCTGATGGCCAATACAACTTGGGTGTCAAAGATAGAACAATATAGAGATGAAAAGGCAATGAGCATCAAGGAAGGTAGCACAGTATCCAAGTCAATGGGACCATATACTAAGTAAGAGATAACAAAGGATCAAATGTAGGCATCAGAACTTTTTGGAATACATGAAAATATATGGCCCCAGTCACTGTGAATAGGTCTCGCTGCCTTTATTGGACAATGGACTGAAACCTGCAAAGTTGAGGGACTATCTGGACTTTATGTTCCATGCCATGCAGTACACACTTTGCACAGCCAGTATTTGTTTAAAGAGTGCCCAGAAGCCAGGGTACTGGTCCTATCAGGACCTTCACCCCAGTAGGTACCCCTGGGGAATATGCTGCCCACCCCTCTCCACCCTCATGATCTTTCCCAAAGAATCACAGGAAAGCTGTGATATGTTTGCCTGTGGTAGTCAGCATGCTTTAGACTCTAAGAAGCTTTCTTTGTGTTTCCTTTTAGAAGTTCCCTGTGATGCCAAGTTGATAGAGAAAAGCTTTGAAACAGGTAAGAGGGGGGTCTGCCTAACTCAGTGCCATGCTGGGGGAGGGAATGAGTCCATAATAACCTTTGGTACATAGGGGAGGAAAGAGGGTGGACCTTGGGGTAAGAACGGCACTTCCAGCGCTGTTCTGAGCTGCCTCGGGTCTGGGTCTTGAACCCGGTTAACCTTGTTTTCCATCCTACATACTTAAGATGTACCTCCAGTTTCACAGGGCCGGTGAGCCTCTCCTAGGCCTCTGTGCCTCTCTCATCAGTTCCTCTGTGAGAGTAAGTCGGTTTAGTGTCTGGCTGTGGCGTCTGTGAGTCCACTCAGAACAGCCCCGCACTAACCATGTCACTCTGAGGACACTGACCTCTACATCTTGGGAAGCTCCTTTCTAGAAAGGCAGTAGGACTCACAGCCTCAGGCAAAGGTCCTGTCTTGGTGCCATCTCATTTCCACACAACTAGGCACTGAGTCATCACTCCTGTGATTTCACTGAGGGGCCTAGGCCCAGAGGGTTGTGACAACAGGTTCTGAGCATGTTCTCCAACCCCATCCCTACAGGGCCTCAGAATATGATATAGACTGAGTCCTTTTGGTGGTTTTTATCTTAAAACCCAATGCCCTTGCCCTGGAGGAATACACAGATAGGTTTACCCTGGGATGTGCAAAGAAGCTCGAAGAAGTGGAGTTGAAGTTACCCACGCCCAGTATAACTGGCTCTTGGGAAATTCCACAGTGTCATGTACATACCCTTAATGCCTTTGACCTCTTGGTTTTACAGATATGAACCTAAACTTTCAAAACCTGACAGTAATGGGACTCCGAATCCTCCTCCTGAAAGTGGCCGGATTTAACCTGCTGATGACATTGCGGCTGTGGTCCAGTTGAGGTGAGAAGGCATCAAAGCTTGGAGGACGGTTAAATGTGTGGGTTCGTGGCAAGACCCAGCCCTGAGAGCAAATCTTCCCCATGAAAATTTGTTTTTAACTCCGAAGACTAGACTCACAGAACTTTTCTACCCCTTCCCGTTGCAAGCTGCTGCAACAGTAGCCTGAAACATGAATCTAACAGAGCACACGCCTTCCAGCATTTTGAGTTGAGTCCTGACTCTCCTGAGACGTATGAAGAACAGCACAGGTTATCCTCACTTAGAAGTGAAGACAACGAGGCCAACTTGTATCAAGGGCCACAGAGCCAAGGAGTAGAGAGGGTCCGACTGTGATGCCCATGTCACCACGTGCCTCTGGCCCTGCCTTTTGGCGTGTAAATCCCCTTCCTTGTGTTCTCTCTCCCTCAGAAGCTCTCTCAGCTTCCTCTTCAAAGACACTATATTCATTAGCCCTAAGCCTGGCTAAGAGTCATCATGCCTCCTCCCTGATAAGGTCCCCCAGTCACCTGGCACAGCCCCAAGTGAAGTCACTCCTATCCCAGCCCTGAAGGTCCTTGTCCTCAGTAACCAAACCTGACCTCTGTGCTTCCTCACTCCAGGTCGGCAAGACTGAAAGAGCCCGAACTCCCAAGCTCCTTCCTCTTCATCACCCTTCCCCTCCCTCCTCAAGCAGAAAGGAGCCCTCCCACCTCATGAAGAAGGCTCTCTGGCTGGCTGGCCCCCACTCACAGTCCCACCAACTAGATCTCCCCAGTGTGTGATGAAGATGGCTGGAGAGCTGCTAAGCACTGCTGCGCCCGCTCTGCTCCCTTCCTGCTGCTGGCCGTTCACAGAGACGTCAAGGGCTGTGGCTTCTCCTGGGTCCAGAGACTCACCCCCAGCCCCCACGACAGATCCCCAGGACAGTCGCCTGGACTGCGGCTCCCGGAGAATGTTGCAAAGAACATGTTTTTGTGGGTTTCTCTTTTAAGCATCCATAAAGTAATACACATTACTCTTTTGAAAAAAAAAAAAAAAAAAAAAAAAAATTATCTCATTGTCTAGACTCTCCCTGCTACTGTGCATGTATGTGTCTGAACCTCATTGTATATTTTCCTGCTGCCCATGACTTCATTAAAGATGACTCAAAGAAGCAGAAACTGTGATCCTATTGGACTTTATTTCGTGTTGCTTATCACTACCTGGGCAGAGAAAAACCAAAGCATGTGTCTATCAAACTGTCCGGGCAGTTACCTCAACAAACCTCTTGATTCAACCTCTTCTTGGGATGACCTCTTAAAAATTCTACTAAGCAAGCTGAGCCAAGGGCCAGGAAGCTCTTTTTACAAGTTAAAGTCCCTGCTCATGCCATGCCTGTGGCCAAGGTGCTCTGAACTGTAGCTAAAATTTACCAGTCTAGGATGACAAGTGTCCCCCACTGGCTTCTGCCCTCCAGGGACACTTTCTTTGCATTCATGTTCATATTGACTTGCTATGGAAACTGTAGCAAACCTCTGGCTGGGACTTGGCCAAGGAGAGCAGACACAGCAGTGTCTCATCTCTGACACAAGCAGTGAGAGTCCCTGGGCCCTCCATGACACTGCTCTCTGCTGAACCTCTGCTGTCAGGCTCCTTTCCCCAAGGGCAGGGATTCTGATGGGAGTACGCTCAGAGGCTGACAACTGTCTGCTCACAACCAAAACGGAGTACTTACTAACTCCCAGGACCCCCTACCCCGGCCCCACCACCAACACTGAACACTTCCATGGTCCACCTGTGTCTGTGACCACACTAGTCAGAAATATGCAGATCCTCCTGCTTCGACCCAGGCCTGCTTCTCCTGGTCGAGATGGGACTGACCAGCTTTAGTGGGTGATCTGGAGCATGCCCCTCTCTTCTATAAGCTTCAACACCTATCAACCCTCAGGCACGACCAGAGGCTACTAATGGCAAAGCCCCATGTCCCGTCTCCTGGGGAGTCCTGATTGGAGTGGCCACAGAATCCTGTTATTTCTAAACTGACTCAGCCCTAACCTACACAGGAGCATTCTAAGATCCCTAAAGGAAAGGCCTCAGAAGACCATGACAGGGACACACACACACACACACACACACACACACACACACCCGGGAGGAGGGCGCTGAAGCCTCTTCCCCAAGCCCCTCTTCATCTGTCTGACACGATGCCAGAGACTACCACTGGGGAATTTCTTTTAATTAAACCATTCTCTTCCCTGTATTAAATGAAAATGCCCCTGGGAAGGTTAGTAGAGCAAGCCTTTATCGACCATTAAAAACTTAGGGCAAATTAGTTTGTCTTTTTTTTTCCCCTTCCTAAAGTGGTAATTCACTTTGTTCTACATATTAAAAAAAAAAAAAAAAAAAAAAAAGAAAAGAAAAAAGAAAGAAAGGAAAAAGAACCCAGGCAAAGAAAATGTTGTTGGCTGGGGAAGTAAGGAGGCGTGCTCCTGAAGATTGGCAGCAGTTACACAGCAGCTAAAGGGGCTGCTGGGGACCTTGTAGGCAAGGGACAGAATAAGAAGCCTGGAAAGCAATATAGGACCCAAAGACAGACCTCCCCCACTGAATGTGAAAGAGGCCCAGGCCTCTGTTGAACCAGGCTAGCCCAGTGCCCCCAGATAGCAACATCCAGAGGTCACTAGAACACTAAAGTCACCTGAAGACCAGTGTGAGGTCATGTGGCAGAGGGCTGAAAGGTCCATCCATACCCATGAAGTGACCAAGGCTTCCTCCTTCCAGACCCAACCCATGCTAGGCCATGACAAGGCGGGCAGGAGGCCATCAGGAGATCAGGGTCAACTTCACCCCCAGAGAAATCTCCATACCATCCGTCAGAGCAAGAACTTTCCCTCATAGCTGAAGCTAAGTCTCCACAGGGACTGAACAAGTGTTAGGAGATTACTTCAAGTCCGGTTCTGGGCTGACCGTGGCTTAGTCTGGAAGGTAGAGGCTACTAAGGAAACCTGAAGCCATGATGATGGCCACAAAGATGCCATTGCCCACTAACCAGCCTGGACCAACTCACGGAGAGAAGGCACTCATCTCCCAAGCTTGCCAGGGCCGCTGTAGAATGGACACCTCTAGAGTCTAGAGGAATGCCCTCCTCCCTCATGGGCTTTATGGAGCCCAGCTCTGGAGGGCAGGGTAACAGACACCTATGTCACAACACTAGGACTGTGGAAGGTGTTCTGAAATGTTCCCCAGAGATTTGCCCCCGTGCAGCTGCCATCACAGCTTGGTCCGGAAACAGGCAAGCTGGACAGGTGTGTGCTATGGAGCCTCCAGGCAGGAGCTTCAACTCTGACCGCGCAGGCAGCCCTCTGAAGCTTAATGGCTTGTTTTTGTCTTGTTTGGGTTCGGGGTGTATACCATAAAATCCTCCTCCTGAGTTTCATGTGAAGCCCTGATTTCACTTTATCATCACGCGCCATCTTGGCAAGGAAGTGTGCTAGACTACATAGGACCCTTGGGATAAGAGGATTCCCTTGTCCATCATTATGTGCTGAGGACCTGGCACAAGACAGACACCACCAATGAACCAAAGAGGGTCCACACAGTCAGTCACTGGGGAGGGAACTGAGCGTGACAGGGAAACAGGTGAAATTACTAGATGAAGTGGCCGGGTGAGTCACTGCTTCAGTTTTGCCAGGAATAGAAAAACTTGGCAAAAACTATCTGAATAATCAAACCTGAGGGGCAGCTCTTTGAAGAGGACAGACAGCCCCGTGTAAGCGCTCATCCACTGTTGAATCCTGGAGGACAGTTACTAGGAAACATGGGCTTCTCCAAGTCCACTGAAATCCAGGGCCAAAGCTCACTTAATGTCCACTTCAGTTTTTCCTGTGACCCACACTACTCCCCTGAAACCTACTTCCTTAAGCAACACGTGGGAAGAAGGTTCTCGGCTTACTTAGCACGAGGGGGAAGCCTACATCCAGCCCTCTCTGCCCTGGACAGGACGTGAAGGTTGTTTCCCCAAAGGGTACTTCCAGCAGTGTGAGAGGCCTGTCAAATGCCGTGACTCTTGCCAGTGCCCACTACCAGGGCAGTGGGAAGGACCACCAGCCTTGCTTTGTGTGAAGGCCACGTGGGCAACACAGCTGGCTTCAGGCCTCCTCTCACGCAGACATGCAAGGCATAGGTTTTCCTCCAAGCACCACACAGACAGCTGCGCCCTGGAATAGGTAAACTGGTCAGATATTGAATCAATAGCCAGAAGTAGAACAGGAAATGGAAAAAGTTTCCCACTTCCCTCCAGGTGTCTGGGTCTGAACAGCCTCCTCCCATTTCCGTGACGTCATGGTTGCTGAGAGGGGCAAACAGGGCACCCTTTGAAGCTCTCCCGCAGAAGCCACATCCTCTGGAAAGAAGAGTTAAAAATACAGAGCTAGAGATAACATCTCTCCAGGCCACGTGCCCAGAGGAGGTAGGCTGGGCCGTTACACCGCAGCCCAACCACAGGTGCAAAAAAAAAAAAAAAAAAAAAAAAGAAGGCCACCAAGCACCCTGGGAGGGGCTTGTAGGTCCTGGCGCTAACACCCATGCTCGGCAACCCGCCAGGGAGGCACTTCTCCTCCACTCCCGAGAAGTCCTCCTCCCCTGACCCTTATTACCTCAAATTAGACCATTCTATATGCTTAGTGCAAGAGAGAAGCCTATGTCCAGCCCATCTTGTGCTAGACAGGATTTGAAAGCTGCATCTGCCCACACACACAAAGCTAAAGCTGGCTCCCCAAAAGATACCTTGCACAAGAAGCCCCCTACTCCTTCATTTCCACTCCAGACAGAGACTTAAGTGTCAAGTGGTGGACGTCTGCCTTTTGGGGAAAGACACAAGGACCAAGAAAGCCACAGAAACCTGAGACTGAAAACCTGCTGTAGTGTTTGAAGCTACCCACACGGGGGCAGGAGCACTCTACCAAAAAGGCTGTTTCTCCTTGGTCTGTTCTGGATAAGGAAAATCCCCACAGCCCAGGGGAAAACTCTTTCCAAGGGAGAATAAAATGGCAGGTGACTTCTATTCCACAAGCTCCCGCCCTGCGCCAGCCACTGAACTGGACTTGTGTGAGCCTCTCACCCCACAAATAGTCTAGGATGAGGCCTTCAGGCAGCAGGGGGCACTGCCCGCCCAGGTTTGCAAGACCCAACTACAAGAGAAACCCCTAAGGAAGCAAACCTGCTGTGGAAGCCAGAACACAGCAGATGGTACATTGGAACCTAGCTCATCCAGGACCCCTGGCTTCCCTCCTTGTAATCTGTGAACACGCAGCCTCAATTTCCCATCTTGTGCCAACACTCTCTCTGAGGTAGTTTAGGAACCAAGGCTCTCTTCACATGGGATACCTGCTCAAAGGGCAGACACTGTGCCAGGTTTCAGGGACTCTGACTCCATACAAGTGAAGTTTAAGAACAGACCAAAGAGAGAAGCACTTAAAGAAATGTTCAACATCCTTAGTCATCAGGGAAATGCAAATCAAAACGACCCTGAGATCTCACCTTACACCCATCAGAATGGCTAAGATCAAAAACTCAAATGACAACACATGCTGGAAAGGATGTGGTGAAAGGGGAACCCTCCTCTATTGCTGGTGGGAATGTAAACTTGTACAACCACTTTGGAAATCAATCTGGCACTTTCTCAGACAATTAGGAACAGTGCTACCTTAAGATCCAGCTATACCACTCCTGGGCATATATCCAAAATATGCTCAAGTATACAACAAGGACATTTGCTCAATGGTGTTCATGGCTGCTTTATTTGTAATAGCCAGAATCTGAAAACAACCCAGATGTTCCTCAGTTGAGGAATGGATACAGAAATTGTAGTACTTTTACACAGTGGAATACTACTCAGCAATTAAAAACAAGGAAATCATGAAATTTGCAGGCAAATGGTGGGAACTAGAAATGATCATCCTGAGTGAGGTATCCCAGAAGCAGAAAGATACACATGGCTTATACTCACTCATAAGTGGATATTAGACATATAATATAGGAAAATC